GATTGTTAGATAATTATTTGCTCGATAGTATAGATTCCTGAGGAAAGTAATGTGTGTTACCCAGCTAAGGATTATCTAGCAATTCATTGGTGGAATCTTTAAGGTATAAGACTTCCAGTGTTCAGATTCGCATTCGAACACTAGGGGGGAACGATATGAGGATACAACATCAATGACTTCCACGTCGACCAGGAAATGAAAATCCGGAACTATAAGTACTTCAAATGCTAAAGCCGTAATGAACAAGAGGCGTCCTCTTTAAGAGCACCGTAAACATAAGAGGACCCTCTCTTATGAAAATACTCACGTTAAAGGGTTGGTTTCAGAAGAATATATGCCTGGAATCAAAATCCCTTTCGGGAAAATGCACCCGAAGACGTACATGAAAGGTCGCAAAAAGTAAACTTGCACAAATATTATGAAAACCCTCACGCTAAAGGGTTGGTTTCGGAAAAATTTATGCCCGGAATCAAAATGCCTTCGGGGAAAAATGCACCCGAAGACATACATGAAAAGACTCAAAAAGTAAACTTGCGCAAATACTTATAAAAACCTTCACGTAAAAGGGTTAATGCCCGAACCAAAGTGCTTCGAGGAAAATGCATCCAAGGCTGCACATAATAAAACATGCGCAGAATTCTTAAGTAAATGCAAATGATAAAGACTTGCATAGATAGTTGAATGAAAGCGAGACTCAAACAATACTTAAGCAAAAAATATAATATAGCGAGACTCAAACAATACTTAAGCAAAAAATATATTTTTATTTACAAAACGTGCCAAAATGGCAAGGGTACAAGAATAGGAAAAAGAAAAGAAAAGCTAAACTGCAGTATCTGTAGAACTAGGAGAAAGAGAAGTGTCCGCGTCACCGGGAGAAGTAGATGGATCCACCGTTGGCTCGACATTTTACCCAATTTGATCTTCAGCATCATTGTCCTCTGATTCCTCTTTAGTTCCCGAGAACTTGGAACCGGACCAGAAGGATCAGGAGCATCAGACTGCGTTGAGAGCCCATTTTCAGTAGCTAACTCAAGATTACGGGCCTTAGCAATTTAGGTATCAAAATCAATGATACCTACTTTGGCCTCTTCCAAGGTTTTTCTCCTCATGTTGTACATGGCATAAGTTTTCTCAACAACGAGGGAAGCCGCTGGGTGCTTAAGTTCTTCTTTCAGTTAGGATACCTCGGCAGAAAGGCTTTCGCGGGCAGACCTAACAGATCTGAGGCTAACATCAAGGTCATGGGTTGAACTAAAGAGCCTATTATGCTCGATAGTTTTCCTGTACTTCTCTTCCAACCAGGCATGTTTCGCCCCCCAGCAGCAAGCTCTTCGATTCTGGAGTTCAAGGTTGTCTTTAAGTCAGTTACTTTTTCTGCAGTGGCAACCTCGCGCTCGATTGCAGCAAGAATGGCGTCATGGACTTCAGCCTATTTGCCCTTGGCTTCATCAAATCTAACCCTCAGCGGACCAATTTCTTGGCTAAGGGTTACCACCTCTTGCTCGCTTTGATGCAAATGAGCCTCCAATGCAACAACCTCAGCAGCCTTGGTTTCCAGTTCTGAGAGGCGAGCGACACATTGCTCCCGCTCTGCCAAAGGATGATCCTGAGTAGAAGTAAGTTCTTCCTTATCACGAATCAACCTCTGAAGGCTCTCGAAGCAAGAAAGTTGGCCTACGAAACAAGAAAGGTAAAACTCAGAATACACAAAAGTAGAAGAAATAACAAAGGAAGAAGCGACCGTACCGCTGCAGCATTATGCATGGCGTTATTCAACAGGAACTCTCCTGAGAGTGCCCGAACCTTTTACCAATCTTTCTCTGAAGCCAAAGGCTTAAGATAATTAGCAAGCTCCGCCGCCCGGGAAAGCAGGTTGCACTCAGTAGAGACCGAAGAGGTAGCATTCCTCCTCCGATGGGGATCCTCAGAAGGAGCAACATAATTTTCCCCAAATTCCCATGAACTGGGGACTGGGGAGGAGGAACATCTCCTTCATGATCAGATGTGGCCGGTGGAGGTGATGTAGCAATTGTTGGTTGAAGAGTGGATGAAGATGGAAATAATGTAGCAATTGCTGGTGCTGGTGAAGATTGAAATGAAGCTGATGGAGTTGAAGAGTAAGAAGTAGTTGCATCAAATGTAGTGCTGGTTGTTGGATGCTCGCCAACCAAAGACGGTAGGGACTCGGTACTCAGCCTCGTGATACCAGGCACAACAATTGGGGCCTGAAAACGGGAATTGGCATTTTTCACTAAATCAAATTCCCCCCAAAATGCCGAGCTATCGTCCTCGGTTGGTGTAACTAACCCAACAGATTGAGCATTCTGTTGAGTTGATGATGAACGTTGCCTTCTGTGTAGAGAAGCCCCATAATCACTAGCTTCTCCATCATCTTCGATCATCACAGTGTCTATGAACGGCCCGGGAAGAGGGCTGGTGATCACAACTTCCGGAGACGACTCGGGGGCACTAGCCTTTGCCCTCTTATTCTTTTCCCCGATTGCGGAGGAACGCCTTCTCTTTGGTTGCTTGTTCTCCGGCCGGGGAGTCCGTGGTAAAATATCTGTGCCCGAAGTAAGTCCGGAAATACCTGTTTGAGTAAGCGCTTTCTGAAGTAGCCTCGCCGCATCAGCAGGATCAGCCAAGACGTCCTCCTCGGGGACAACAATAGAGCCTGCAGGTAGACCTAATTTCGCGAGCTAGTTAGAAGGGTTCAACTAAGTTCTTCACATGAAATATTAAAATAAGGTGAGTTTAAATTACCATGGCTTTTTGCCTTCCACCCGTATTTAAGGGCCAGTTCTTTCCACAAACGAGTTTCGGGTGTCGTAACGTCCAAGATCTTCTGAACCCACCGGTCTAAGCCTCCACCACCGGTGGGATCCATCGAGTTACTGAAACATGCAAAGGATAAAGAATCAATATGATCATAGAGGAATATTTGGTAAAAAGAAATATTAAATGAATATCTTACGAGTACGGTTCAAATCGTCTGGAAAGGATGATGGCATTGTCGGGAAGATATTATTGGTGGCAACTGCTGGTAGAACATGGTGGCCACGTTTGTAGAGGTTTATCATTCCCCCACGAAAAATCTCGGGGGAGTAGAGATTCATCATACAAGCTAAGGTTAGCTCTTCTTTAGTCTCCTGGAACAAACGCCGAAGGCAGGCAATTGTCCTCCACACAGAAGGACTTACTTGTGCCAAACATACTAAGTAGCGGAGGCAAAACTCCACAATCACAGAATCCAGCTCTCCACTCAAAGAAAACGCACCCAAAGTAAAGGGATACGTGTAAAAATATGTAAAACCCTAATTGGGAAAGGTCACTCGCTCCGATAGATCGGGAGCAATAATATCCAACTCATGGCAGCGTAAGTCTTCCTTCGTAGCAGGAATGCTGGAAGGCCGGATTGAAGAAGGGTACCTACAGCCCATGAACGAGGGTTGGCGGTAGGAAATTTTTCTTCGAAGTCTTTTGTGGTATTAAGACTTCTAGGGATGATGGAACTCACTGTTGAAGGAACATAATCCTCGGCCTTTTTCTTATTCTTTGAAGAACTGGTATGCTTTGAGGAAGAAGCCATTATATGGAAGGAGGAGAAGGTTTTTTGTTTGAAGAGAGTTAGAAAAAATATGAATAACAAAGGTGCAAATCAAAAGCTTGTAAAATTATGAAGTGCAAGAAAAAAAGGATGATGCGGATAAGTAAAATTTTGGCGGCTAAATTCATGGCCATGATTACCTCGTTAATCGGCAAAAACTGTGCTGAATCATGAGATGATGCGTGTTCGGAGCATTAATGCGGAGAGACGTGCATCTAATCAACCATCCGAAGCCTTTAGAAGAAGTTATTGAGATTCCCGTTAAAAGAGTGTTTACCAACTTCCCGGTAACACAAAGTTATATAACCGGAAAGCAAGGGGACTATCTATATAGGGTAAATATGATATGACACGTGGCCATCTAAAGGAAGGACACGTGGAACCCAAGACGGGGATGGCCAAAGACCGAACGTAACTACTCCGCTTGTCACCGGAAGGGATAACGTCCATAAAGGTGTATTAAATGCTCTGTGCCTGATAGTATTTAATAAAGAATATTCTGCAGCATTAAGAGCGACAACCCGTTACAAGGAATTTGGCATTTAAGTTCACCATTACATCTTCATCAGTAGCCCTCATAATTGACATTAATGAAGGGAACGATCCTAGGATCCTCTTCCCTCGACACTGCTATAAATAGTGAGCTTAGTTATTATTGTAAAAGACACGAATTTTCTGGCAGACTTATACTATATTTTATACAAAGCTTAATGCAATTTTACTTTCTCGCTTTTTGATTTCATCATTGCTTTGCCCGAACACCTTGTTCCCGGAACTGTCATCTCTGCTATTTAATTTACATTTTAAGACTAAGTTAAGTATTGCACAATTCTTTACTTATTTCATCATTTTTATGATCAAATTAGTTCACTTGTCTAGAAACCACGTATAAATTCAACTGTACCGTTTTATGGTTAAGCACAAAAATTTCTAAATTTATTATTTGTTTCTTAAATTTTATCGGTATCATTTACATAAAATGAAATGGAATGAGCAATGGAGTATATTTGTATCTATGCGATATAAATATTTGGTAAGTTTTTCTTATAGGAGTATTATTACAACGAAAAAAATCTGACGTACATGAGGGGTAAATTGGTCTTTCCAAGTTAAACGAAAATACACTAAACGACAAAATACTGAACCACGAACTGATTAGTCCGAGTTCCTCCGACAGGTGTCGTATAATGAACCAGATGATTCCACGTGGACAATTGGATTCATCGCTCGAGCTTGGTACATCAGTCGTATCTTGGGAAAGAAGCAGCTGAAACTGAAACCTCCCTTCAATTTAACCATGGTTAATACTTTTAACACTACACATAGTTAGTTTCGCCGCTAAGAAATAAAAAATTACGTAAAAAAACAAAACATTTGAAAAAGAGTTCTATTAACATTTCTCTATTATGACAGCTTTCTAAACCAGTCTCTTCTCTTTCACTCTCTCTGTATAAACGCCGCCATGTCTGAATATTAGACCTCTTCTCATTTTTCTCTTCATTCAATAAGAGTTTTTTTTTCCTTCCTCTTTTTTGGGAACACAACAATTCCCAAAAACAGTAGTAGCAATTTTTTCCTAGCTTCGGAAATAGTTGGCAAAACTTTTCTTGTATTCATTTAAGGTTGGAAAAAAGCATTTTCAAATCAAGATTTTGACTGCCCATTTTTACTTAATAGGGGCAATAATTTGAGCTGAAGTGGAGAAAAGTAGCTGAAAAAAACACATGTGAAGTTCAATTTTTTCTTAGCTAAAAATATGGCAGAGATGGAAAACTCATCATCTATGACTGTAGCTGGCAGTTCATTAGAAGAAACAATTACCCAACAAAATTTTCCAGTAAAGAAGAAAAGGAACCTTCCAGGTAACCCAGGTAAAAAAAAGTTAAAAAGAAATTCAATATTTTTTATTATTTCTCTTGAGCAACTCGGCGGAGTGTCTATCGGAAACAACTTTTTTACCTCGTGCCTCCCTACCTTCGCGAGATAGACGGACAAAGATAGAGGTAATGTTTGCATACACATTACCCCTTAGACCCCATACTGTGGGATATACTGGCAGATTTACTGATTCCAGTATTTTCTACGCAGAACATAAATTTAGGTGTAAAATTTTTTTAAAATTGTAATAAATACTATGTTTGAATTCATAATTTAAAATACAATAGGTTCGTTGTAAAAAAACCTTCGGTTGAACCAATAGAGCTTAAATTCTGCCTCCGCTTCTGCCCCTGTATGCTGGTATTTTGTTGTTGTATTTTTATTTATAGTTCTGCGCCTTTTATTATTGTTTGCTAAAGTGTAAAATGTTTGGTTTTTGTAGATCCAGAAGCAGAAGTAATAGCACTATCACCAAAAACACTAATGGCAACAAACAGATTTGTGTGTGAGATTTGTAACAAAGGGTTTCAACGTGACCAAAATTTACAGTTACATAGAAGAGGACATAATTTACCTTGGAAACTCCGGCAACGTACGAGTAAAGAAGTGAAAAAACGTGTGTATGTTTGTCCCGAAGCCATGTGTGTTCATCATGATCCATCTAGAGCTTTAGGTGATCTTACAGGAATTAAGAAACATTTCTGTAGAAAACATGGTGAGAAGAAGTTTAAGTGTGAACGTTGTACTAAAAAATATGCTGTTCAGTCTGATTGGAAAGCTCATATGAAGACTTGTGGTACTAGAGAATATCGTTGTGATTGTGGAACATTGTTTTCTAGGTATGTTAACATTTTATTTTTTCTCCTTTTGTTCTATCATCATATCTTGTTCTTAGTTATTGTTTATTGTTTTTATTTTTTATTTTTTTGAGTTAAGAATCTATCGGAAACCGTTTCTCTATAAACGTAAAAATAAGGTCTGCGTTCTATTAGGGGCTCTATTGGGGGCGTACGCAAGATTTTGGTAAGCGATTTTAAAATTTAAAAAAATGAAAGAACGAATTAATCATTATAACGGAAAGCGGTGTCATTTTTTATCTTTATACCCAGTTTTTTCATTTTGTATACTATATACATATACATAATTAATTAAAATTTTGAAGAGGTGGTGTCACGTGATACCACTTGCCGTGCTGCTGTACTCTATCCTCCTTAGGCCTCACTTTTTTGGGATTACACTGAACTTGTTGTTTGTTGTTTGTTACTCGAGAAATAGTGGAAAATGGAACTAAAATGCTCAATATTATTTTCCGAAGTTTCTCCCTTCCATTTGGTCAATAGTTTATTGAATTTGAAAATTTTTAGCTAGCGTTTGGCCATAGATCACAAATTTATTTTGAAAAATCTGATTTGGGTGAAGTTTGGTTTGAAGATGAAAATGTGTTTGGACATACGTTTTCAAACGTATTTTCCAATTTTATTTTGGAAAAACATGTATATAATTTTCAAGTTTTGGGATTTTGGTCCAAAATAGCTGATTTTGGGATTTGAAATTTGGGATTTGGAATTTGGCCAAAATATGAGCAAAATTTATGACCAAACATGAGTTTTGAAAATAAATCCCAAATTTACTTTGGGAGAACTTATGGCGAAACGGGGCCTTAGTATGTGAAGTCTTGAAATGAACATTTAAAAATTGAATTTGTGTGTCGACATGAATTTTACTAGTAGAATTTTTTTCAAGTTCTGTGATCTTGAAAGCATTATCTATTTAAGATATCCTCAAACTAATTTTTGATCTTTTATTTTAAAGTGAAGTTCTAAAAAAAAAAAGAGTAAATTTGTAAATTAAATATTGAAATGCTAATATGTATTTCATTATTTGTAATTAATGTGCACGTAAAAACGTTACTAATTATTATGTTTTTGTGGTTTTTGATGGTGAAGGAGGGATAGCTTTATAACGCATAGGGCATTTTGTGATGCATTGGCTCAAGAAAGTGCAAGAGCTCAACCAATGAGAAGTACAAATACTGAGGAAAATTTGAAAGTTGATGAAGCTGTTACTTCTTCGTCTAGTCCACCACCACAACCTTTAACTCCATCAACTGGAGTTCTTTCACCAGTTCTGTCCATTCAAAGTTCAGGTAATTATAATAAGGAAAAAAGAAATAAATAAAAAGGTTAATTCTACGTACTTTTTTTGAGTAGTTGCACATGCATAATCTGCAATTTGTCAACATCGTAGAAACCAAGAAGTAGTGGAGTATGTCATAAAAACGCTTCTCTCGTTTAAATGAAACTTAATTAGGTTCTTTGAATTGTTTTTCTTGAGAGTATGTGTTTCTTCATGTGATGATCGATGTGGTGGTTTTTTTAAATTATTTTTGTTTTGTTCTCATTTGTCCATTAGTGTCCTTTGTCTTTTTCCTGAAGTGTTCATCTTCTTGTGTGAATGTCTCACCATTGATTTAGCTAGCGTTTGGCCTAGATCTCAAATTTGTTTTGAAAAATGTGATTTGGGTGAAGTTTGGTTTGAAGATGAAAATGTGTTTGGATACGTTTTCAAAACATATTTTTCAACTTTATTTTGGAAAAACATGTATATAATTCCCAAGTTTTGGGATTTTGGCCCAAAATCAGCTCAATAGCTGATTTTGGATTTGAAATTTGGGATTTGGCCAAAATATGGGCAAAATTTATGGCCAAACATGAGTTTTGAAAATAAGTCCCAACTTTATTTTGGCAAAACTCATGGCCAAACGGGACCTTAATTAATTACTCCTTTTTACAAAAGTTTGTCCTAGTGAATGACTTTTGAGATACTTAGTCTTAAATAGGTTACAACATTTATGTGGCTGTGAAATATCTAAATTTTGTGGTTTGAAACCTACCATAGCATTTGTATGGTTGTAACCGGGAGCAGAGCTAGGTACTGAGGCGTGGTTCGGTCGAACTCAATAATTATGGTCCAAACTCTATATTTGTATTAAGAAATTAATTTAATATGTTCAAATTATTAATTTAGAACTCAGTAACTTAAAATGGTTAAATTCCTGAACCGAGAAACTTCAGCTTGAGGCTCCTCCTCTGACTGTAACTGCTTCATATTAAAGAAATATTGAAAGGTGTCAATAATTTTTAAACGATTAATGAGAAATCTTTTTGAAACGGAGAATACTTTGGTTTTGACCGCGGGCAGTGGTGTATCTAGCACTATAGCTATGGGTTCAAGTGAACTCATAATTTTCGAGACGGAGGTAAAAATTTATTATAATTGTAAGAAACAATGGATATTAATCCATAACTTTGAAAATATGATGAGTTCCGTGCTAAAATCTTAAATATTGAACCCATAAAATTTAAATTCAGTATCCGGCCTATGGGCATTAAAAATGGAGTAATTAAGAAAGGAAGGCTAGCTAGTACGGGCTCAAATATCGGAAAAAGGATTTAAAAGAGGGGCGTTGAGTAAAGGAAAATGTGAAAGGTCTCTGGTTAAAGTTGGATGCATATTGGGATTCAGAACATACAAAAGTTTATTCCATTTTTAAAAAAGATTGTATCTTTTTCTTGATTGTGTGAATGAAGGAATAAACTCCCTTTTTCACTTTGTTCTTTTCTGGGTGACAGAATTGCCAGCAGACAATCAAAATCAAGCTGGTGTACAGTTACAAGCAGCACAAGGTACAATTACGCCTGTTTCTACAACTACTGTCACAGCCACAACAATTTCCACTACTGCTAGTACTACTGGTCCTAGTAGTAGCAAAGTGTTTGCTAGTGTATTTCCATCGTCGTCGACTTCAGTTGGGCACCCCCACTCATCTTACTCGGATATTCTTTGTGCTATTGGGCCAGAACAAATGAGCGCCATAGAGCCAATGTCGCTCTCGTTGTCGTCTTCATTTTATCTCTCGGCCAATAACGGGTCAACTTTATTCCAAGATCACACCGGCCACGGCCAGCATTATGGTCCAACAACGCAACCGGCATTATCCGCAACTGCATTGCTTCAAAAGGCTGCCCAAATGGGCGCTACATCGTCTAACAACTCGTTTCTTCGTGGTCTTGGATTGGCAATGTCGAGTACCTCTACATCGGACAATATTTCCCATGTGAAGCTAGAGAACAATGTAGAGGTACCCGGGCTCGGGATACAACTCCCGTCTAATGGTCCTTCGGGACAATGGACGGATTTGATGATGGGTCCATCTCATGATTCTATGATGTTTGGGAACAAGCCTCCAACTCTTGATTTTCTTGGTTTAGGAAATGATGCAAATGTAACTTCATCAAATGGATTTTCAGCGCTTTTGAGCTCAATGGAAGGCGGATTTGGTGTTGCAACGTCGTATGGTGGAGTGGCAACTAGAGGGGAGCCTTGGGATGATCATTCTGATAGAAAGCCTTCTATGCTTTAGGTGGAATTTAGTTGGAACATTACTGCAAAAATGAAATGAAGTTCTATACATTAATTTATCTTGATTTTTGTGGGAGAGTTTTTGTTTGATACATATAGATATCCAATAGACGTAGCTAAGTTATGTTCATACCCGTACTTCATTTCTAAGCTTAGTTTATTTTGGTTTTATATTCAGGACATGCAGTTAGGACAACATGGTAGTGAACTAGCCACCTAGGTTTCTGCTCGTTTGTATGCAAAAGAATGACCAAGTCCCATATGCTTGGTAAATTAAAGTTCTCTTTTTAACCTGCTTTCTTTGCCTATTGTTATTTTCTTACTTTAGATTTTCATCTCCATATTTGAATTGATCATTCGTTATTAACGTCATGTTACATTAACAGCTTGTTTGGATGGTAGTTACCTATTTGTATTATTGTATCGTATTGTTATTTTAAATGCAATGTTTGGTTTAATTGTTACTTAAATTTTATTATATCGTATTATTAAATTCATCGTTATGTAACGACGAAAAGTGTCATTTTATGGAATATTTGATCTGGTGTGGTGGCGGCATCATCTTGTTTTTTTCTTTCATCTTGCTCTTTCTTATTATTAAATAATTATATTTTATCTTTTATTTTACTTTTTTTTATATATTTTACTCCGTATTCTATTTTTTCTTAGTAATGTTGTAAGTTTAATTTATACTTCATATTGCAGGTGCCTGACATCATAAAACGACGGTAAACGATTTAATTTTTTTAAATGTTGCATTAATCTAACAATACAATGCAGTAATACGATACATTATACATTATGAAACGATACGTAACAATTCAAATAAGTAAGTTGTGGTGTAATAAGCAAACGTGTGATGTTGTGAATGTTCCTTGGTCTAAAATTAGGATGCTAACAAAAAGTCTAAATCGCGTACAGAATGTCATATTGTTTTGCCGTCAAAATAGTACGATATAGCCAGTTTTCGCACTGGTCAATCAAAAATAGCCAGCGTTTATCAAATTAATGAAAAATAGCCACTATTTTGCTGCAACAGAGACCAGTCCCGTATAATATACGGGAGTTCGGTGCATTTGTGTACGAACTCCAGCATATTATGCTGGACCGGTATACTTTGGTGACTCCTGTATAATATAGGGGAGACTGGAGCACCGGTGCTCCAAACTCCAGTATATTATACTGGACATTTATACTTGCTGGAACTCCAGTATATTATGCAGGAGTTCCAGCGTAATTATACTTGAACTCCCGCATATTATACGGGAGTTCCAGCATAGTTATCCTGGAACTCCCGTATAATATGCGGAGTTCAAGCATACTTATGCTGGAACTCCCGTATAATATGCGGGCGTATTTTCCGGATTTTGAACAGTGTTTTCACTCAGATTTATCTTTACACGAAAAGTGGCTAAATTTCGATTACTTTTGAAACTGGACTATTTTTGAATGACCAGTTATAAATCTGGCTATTTTTAAATTTTTCCCTGTTTTGCCATATAAGTGGGCCATTTTTGTACTACTTGATCGATAATACAAGGCTGTCTACCTATAAGTAATAATCTAGCTATATGTAATAAGAGATTTGCCCTTCAATATTCTGGGGTTGACTGTTCATGGTCAATGTAGTGAAGTTAAAATATGTGTACTGTCCTCGATTAATAGCATGTTCCCTTAGTGTTATTTACTCCCTCCGGTTCACAATAAGTGTCCAATTTGCTTTTAGCACGCCCATTAAGAGAATACTAAATTCCATACAAAAATACCTACTATGACTAAACTACACCTAATTAAACATTTAATGTGAGGAGTAAGAAAACTTTTTAGGGATATGCACATAGGGGTTATTTTGTAAAAACAAATTGAATTCTTTCTTGATTACATAACTGGACACTTATTTTTAACCAAAATGAAAAAGTAAATTGGACACTTATTGTGAACCGGAGGGAGCATGAATTATGCCCTTTACAATTTTAGAATTAAGAAAATAATATTTTTAGGTCTTTTATGTGTAAAAATAAATCTCTCATGTATAAAAAAAATAGGGTTATAAAACTAAAAATAAATTTGTAATAGCCATAAAACCAATTCACAATATTGATTTTCTTGTTCAATATTGGTTTGAAGTTATAACAAAAAGTTATTTGAAATAGCTAGAAGCTAAAAAATCTTATTTGGAAGTTGCAATTGTTTGAGACAAAAATTGTATGTGTGAAAAATATCATTTTAGCTGTAATACTTGTCAAATAAGCCTTTCAATATTCCACCAGTATTAATTCAAATACTACATTAAAATTCAATATTTGAAAATATTGATGCTGGATTTTCATTTTGCAAATAATGCAATGGCTAAATGGTGAATGTTCAATATATAAAACTTTTCTTTTAAAACTATTTCGGTACTTTCCATCATACTTGACACTTCTATTTTTATAGAGCATTTACGACTTACAAGAATTTAAATATATTAAATTATACTATATACCTTGACATCATCAGTAACAACATTTTGAACGTCTTTTTCTGAACCGAAAGTCTATCAGAATCAACTCTCTATTTTCTCTAAGTATGAGTAAGACTGCGTACATACCACCAGAGGCAGATTTATTGTCGAAAAATTATACTATATATATAAGGCAAAATCTATTTTGTATCTCTATAATTGTATCTTAAATTTCCTTGACACAGTTAAAAAGCATAGCTTAGTGGTCAAGGGGTTCAAAACCTTAGTAAGGTCATTAGGTCAATCTCACTGGCCACAACTTTATTTATTTTTTCTTACTTTTTCCTATTTTGAACTCTTTCAGCGAAAATCCTACCTTTGCCGCTATATATCACCCTTCTCTGACTCCACATGCGGGATTTCACTCCGTTTGTTGTTGTTATTGTTGTTTTATTTCATAAAATATATATTCATAATACGTACTATGCTTTTGCTCAAGACAGCTAAGGGGCAGGGGACAGAAATCAGAATCAGAAATGGGAGTGTGGGGAATGGGCAACAGACATTACCATTTATATTGAAAGTAGCATAACACTTCAACAGAGACGATCATGCCAGTCAGTAGTAGTAGCTGTAGGGGCTGCCCAGTCAAATCTTTAAACTTAAATTTAATGCTAGTTAGACTACTGTAGTTGACTGTTGAGTCACATCGAAAATCAATGAAATAAAGAAAATGTAGCAGGCCCATATTTATTTCGAGTGCTGAGTGTAGTTTTTGAACAAGATTCGTGAAAGTGCTATGGCACACATTCCTTCTCTGGTCCTTCACTCTTTTTCATGATCTCTTCCTGCATTTCTGCAAAAGTAGTGGTCTTGTTTTCCTCCACCTGATATGGTTTAATTTCATGTTATAATCAATATGATCTGCCTATAAGAATATTAGTAACACAATATAATCCAGATCAAATATGATATTATTACATACCTATTTGAGTATATTGACAAAGAATTAGGGACCCGTTTGGCTATGGATTTTGCCGAAATATAATTGGGGTTTTTTTTTTTCTTTTTGCAAATACATGTTTGGCCATAGATTTTATTCACATTTTAGCAAATTTTCAAACCCCAAAATCCAAATACCCAAGATCAGCTAAAGAGATGGTTTTGGTCCAAAATATCACTATTGCATTTTTTAAAAATTGCCCCAAACTTTTGTATTTTATAAAAGAAACCACCATTTATTATTTTGTAACAATGCTGCTTCGTCTTCTCGGTCATCTGATAATGTATTATGTAGTTCATTATAAAATTGATATTTTTGTACCAAATATATTTATGTTCAAGACTATGGTTTGCTATAATATAATGAATGTTTTTGATAAAGGTACTGTTGGGTATTTGTGATAGTTTTTAGAACTTGTGGGTATAAGTCATGTTTCATGTTTTTTCAACAAAAAAAAAGTAAAATATGGTTTGAAAACTTATGTCCAAACACATTTTCATCTTCAAACCAAACTTCACCCAAATCAGATTTTTCAAAATAAATTTAGGAATTTATGGCCAAACGCTAGCTAAGTGTTCCTCTCTATTACTCTTTTTTCAATATGGCGACCAGAGGCGGATTTAAGATTTTGAAAACATACGTGCACTGCTAAGGAAATGAGAAAAAAAGAGTATTAAAATGAGAATTGATCCACATTCCTTTGGGTAAAGGACTCAATATTTAATCAAGTGCTCCATTCAGCGTTTGTGGAGTATGGATGCCAACAAATAATATTAGATTAATTCTAAAAAATACATTATATAAAATACTTAGTTTGACGGATAGACCATGGGTTTAGGTGCCCCATAAACTAATCTACAATTCGGCTCCTCATGGCAGCGTAAATGGGACAACTACTGCACACAACAGATATTATAAAATAAATCTAATTGTATGTTTATACAAGGGCTAGACTGCAATTAATAAAATCCTGGTGGATCCTCCCATTAAGGGTTTTCATCGGATTGAGCTTACACTGGTTGTCACATTAGACCCATCAAGAACATAAAGTGCACAGCTTAAGTAATAAAATTTCACACTTAGAATTGGACTCGCGTTTATGGACTATCATCAAACTCAAACATTTAAATATAAATAAAATATTTAATAATATAATCCCATTTACCATTGAACTAATGAACAAAACCTGCAACTACTTTCACTCGAGAGTCATATCAAGTTCAAGGTTACTTATTATTTTTTCTTATTTTAAATTGGATTGTCAGATGAGCATGACATTGAATGTATCTTGATTGTACTACCTGCAGTGACATTAATGTGCAGTGATATTGATGAGGAAGAATGGCACAAATTAGAAAACCTTGACATTCCAGCTATTACATAATTTAATATTAGGAAAAACTTAATTATCTATATCTATCTATACTATATTAAAAAAAACGAAATCTCTTAGCGAAATGCCGTTCGCATTTTTTACCCTTTAAAAAATTAATTTCACACTAGACAAAATAGTCATTTAATTAATTTCCTATTGTTTAGGAAAGAACAATTAATTATTTTTCTAATATTCAGAAATTCGAAACCAACTAGATTTTGTGTCATAAATCCTTTCTTATTTGAACTATGTAATATAATAAATTTATAAAAGAAGAATAATAACACATGAGAATCACATTATAACCTTCGCCCAAATTTAAGTCCTTTTAGATTCAGGAGTCCCTTTTTGCCACACATACTTTGGAGCTAAATAAAGTTATTTAAATACCACCATTTGTTAGGTCAATAGAAAGCAATGAAAAAAATAATATAATTTATCTTGCGTGGATCCAAAGAACACGTCCAGGAATGA